CCTCCAGATGAGCGAAAATATTTCAATAAAATCAAACTTGAAAAAAATGAACTAAGATTTAAGAAAAAGTAAAAATATTCAAGATTCAAGTAATAATTTACATGTTATGTGCGATTGATGACTGATTTTACAGTATTTATAACTATATTTCTACTGCGTTACTAATGCAGTTAGGGCTATTTTTGCATATTTTGTCCTCTTTTTCATAATATACGTGGTCGGCAAGTGCCATTGATAATGTGTAAATTGCTTCCTTTTGGTTATTTCACTAAATAATACTTTAAAACACATTTTCAAAATTTTCATGAAAATTGGCATGAATCTAGAGGCGTGCTGCTTTAATGCTCAAATCAGTGAAAATTCAATATTCTAACCTTCAAAGTCAAGTTATAAAAGAGCCAAGGTCAATTTGAGTTTGACATACATATCTTATCCTTAAGAATGTTGTGTTTTAATATGAAGTCAATCCATAGAATAATAGCAAAGTTACAGCCAGTTGCAGCCAAAAGAATTAAAATTTCAAAAAATTGACCTTCAAAGTCAAAGTCATTTATGAGTGAAGGTCAAGGTCTGTCTGGTTATTTTAAAGGGCTATCCTTGAAGATTATTATGTTCAAGTTTGAAGACAATCCATTCAAAAATAACAAAGTTACAGGGAATAATAGCAAGAACAAGCAAAATTTGGACATTTGACCTTGAAGGTCAAGGTCACATATGGGTGAAGGTCAAATGGGGTAAAAACTCTCATACTTAAATTGGTTAATAAATAAAAAGCTTAACAAGGTGCATTGCCAAAAAGTTTCAAAGATATAAAAAGCAGATTGGCCATTTATCCTCTATGGTGACATCTAACTTTAAGAAAATGACAAGATTAATGTGATTGTTTCTTGCTCCTATAGCGTATGCTTTCATTGATGTTAGCTGCTTGTCTCAGTTCTGCTGTCTGACTTCACTCAACATGATTTCCTAGTTCAAGTGATTAATGCAGAATGTCCGTTGTTGGGGTTGTAAATGTATGGTATGCATGCTTCGATGATAAAGGTTTGTTTTAATGTAAGATTAGAAATGCATATTAATTCTTTCTTGCATTTTAGTATTATAAGGTTTGTCGTTCAAATTCATTTTTTGTGTCGCCTCTACGGAGTAGTGGCGTCATATAGGGATCACTTCTCCGTCGTCTGTCTGTCCGTCTGTCTGTCTGTTCGTCACAAAACTTGTCCGGACTACTCCTCATACACTACTGGTGCAATTTCATCCAAACTTTACAGGAATGATCAGTACCAAGTCTAGTTGTGCATATTGTCAGCATTTTCCGGTTCAATGATTTTTGTCAGAGTTATGGCCCTTTAATAATTTTTATTTTTAAAGTTTGTCCGGACTACTTGTCTTATACCACTAATGCAATTTCAATGAAACTTTACAGGATTGATCTGTAGCTCAAGTCCTTGCGCATATTGCACGGGTTTTCCGGTTGAATGATTTTTGGCCGAGTTATGGCCCTTTGATAAAAAGGTGTTTTTTCTGTGTGTTGCCAGATACACAAAAGCTTGTCCGGACTACTCCTCATAAACTACTGGTGCAATTTTATCCAAACTTTAAAGGAATGATCAGTACCAAGTCTAGTTGTGCACTGTCTGTCCATCTGTCACAAAACTTGTCCCAACATGAAATTGGCCATCATGAGGCGACACATGTGATCACTGATCACTCTTGTAGTCATGATAATATTGCAACGCATTTGAACTATACCTGTGCATTATTACAATATTGGCAAAAACAAAGTTCTAAATTAAAAATACTATTCGTATATCCGTTAAGAAAATCATTTCTTCTAGACAGATTAAGCCAAAGGTTTGGAAATTGCATATATACCATATCATTTCCTGAAACATCTCATTTGTGAATACTTAAGATTTATTTTTTTACAGGAAAATTTAATTCAATTACATGTATAGTGTTACACGTCTTGACTAGTTTACATACAGTTTTCTCTGAATACCATTTGCTTCTATTTACTTCACACATTTCTGGACCGTATAATAATTCGCTTAATTAAAATCTAAATGTGTCTCGGGACGAAACCTTCATTCAATTATTTCTCTTGGCATATTCCGGAATTATACATAATTGATTTGTGAATAAGAAGAACGTGCTATCTGACAAATGTTTATCAGCCTGGACAAGACATTGAAGTGCAACTACCTTGAAGTCAAGGCATTATTTTATAGATTGATAACATTTAAAAACTAAGTGGGAACCAATATCAATAGTTTTGGCTTTTTACACATCCACAGAATCATTTTATCAGCATTCAAACTGGTAAAACTTGTTTCAGAATAAAATTAAATTACGAACATATACATTTTAGTATAGCTGAATTTACTTAAAATGATTTAGACAATTTTGTATTCATTATTTATAATTAAATAAACTTTTCAAAGAATAAGTTTACTTCAAAACTAATAAAATCAATTCTGTTTGCAAATTTCAACATAAAAAATATGAAAACAAAACAAACATAAAAATTATGAATACAAAACAGAAAGAAAAAATAATATGAACTTTAATTGGCCTTTGATTCACATTTCAATACAGCAAATGGCAATATTAAATATTTACAATGTATTGTATATATACGTATGAAATTGAAGTTAGTTTTGTTATGAAAGACAAAAGAACATTGATAAATAATTTATATTTTAATATATAAAATCACTGAATATTATTTTACATATCACTTAACCAACAAAACTGAAACAAATCTAAATAAACACACATGCAAAAATTCAATGGTATAATTATGATTTTATTGCAGCAGATACAAGTGCTATGGTTTGCAATAAACCACTGTATTTGTGTGATAATGAAACTGGCCTGCTTTTAACCTAGAAGAGTTCATCATAAACCATATCTCTAACCGGAATAGAACTCTGTATCAGTTGTAAGTCTTGAAATATTACAAATATATTAAAATTATTTCCTATTTTTATGGCCAATTGAAATTGAGGAACATTTTGAAGGAATTTTCACACTTTTGTGCAATAACTGTTTATGTACGATTTAGGGAAATCACATTCTAGAATTGTGTAAATCAGTTATATAACAAGAGCCACCACCAGGCGGGGCAACGCTCGACTTTTTACTTTTTCTAAAAGCAAACAAGGTAATGTTTGAACAACTATTTTAGAACAGGGGCCACATGTGCTGTATATTTATTAGAAAGAGTTATTGTCCAAATTTTAGGCGTATGTTTTTGTTTGTTTAAATATTATTTTATAAATGCCTGAAGCTTAATATTGATTAAACGGTTTGTCATTTAAACAAAAGAAGCGTTGATATTTCAAAAGAAAATACTGACACTTTCTCTAAAAGGCATAATAAAACAAGGAGGAGGACGCTACGAGTCACGTCATCGTTACTTTCGTTACATTTACACCTTTTTTCTAAACATTTCAAATTTTTCAACAATTGAGAACAGGGGCCACATATGTTGTATAGTTATTAGTAAGGGTTATTGTCCAAAAAAGCAATATGATACCTTGGCACAAAGTAAGACTTGACTTGAGGGATGTAAGTACATTTTGAAGTGTTGCCAATATATTACAGACAAACACAAGAGACAATGGGTGCTAAAAGTTTGTCTATTTTAATCAGTTTGAGAAAATATTCAGCATAGTATAGCATAGTATATCTATATAATATGCTTAGCAATTTTTCTCGGTCATATAAATATTTTCGATAATTTGATTGTTTTGTTCATTCAACAAGTTTGTATTACCTTTTAAAGTAATTACTTACCAGACATTTGCGTCATGAGATGAGTTCTCAAATATATTATATATTCCTGGAAAAGTAATTTGTTCAGAAACTGTGAAAAATTCCGGTGGAAATGAATTATGAAATTGTGAAATATAGGTTTGATATATCGTCATACGGAACCTCTGATGTCAGCTTCTGTGAATGGTACTGTCGCTCGGAAATAAGCTCTCAATAGAAAAACGTACAAAATATAATATATATTGAGGATATTTGCTTTTTACTAAATATACTAGATCTCTATATATGTTTTAGTTTGCTATGATGCTTTGATTATATGTTGTGTGTTAATTTTTCTTAATACACTTGTTACTATATATAGTAACAAAATTGCCTATGATTTCAACTGATTAGAGTGTCACGTGACCTATTATGAGTTTGCGGCCCGGGGCCGAGAACTAGTTATCAGCCCGCAGAACATGTGCACGTGCACAAACTGAAACAATGACGTCACATTTAACGTCATCAAACAGTTAACTGTAAAAGTGAAAGTAGGTTGTCAGCACGAATCGCTTTATTTTTATTATGAGACCTTAAGCGTATTTAGTACAAACACATTTTTGTTACTATTGAAATTTGAAGAAATAATACGACAAATTCATTCCGAAAAAATAAAAATAAAACTTGCTTCTTGGTTCTACTGCTTTGAACACACAAACAGAAAACATCTGTGTACTGTACTGAACAGTAGAAGAGTATAGACAAGAATTTCAACGAAAGAACTTCAAAGTCTATTTGTTTTGATTATGTTTTTGTTATTTTTGTTGGTTTTTTTGTAAATGCTACTATTAGATCTACCAAGTGTATTAAAGACATTAATACACGTCAGCGTAGGGCCGGAAGGTGATAATCGGCCCTGAATGAATAATGGCCCTCGGGCTAAAGCCCTCGGGTCCATTATTCATTTTGCAGGCCGATTATCACCTTCCGGCCCTCTCCTGTCGTGTATTAACCTCTTATTAAACCCTTGTATTTTATGCTAGTTGAATCTTTGTTGTGTTTGTACGCTTTGTTCATATTAAAACTCCTTATTCCCCATTCCATTAGGCTGTGCATGCAACTTAATTTTAGTTTACTTTGTTTGTTACACTGTATGTGCTTTATCTTGTTTCTTTTTTATGCTGTATAAGTTCTATCATAAATTTTTATGCACTTTTATAAGTAAGTTTAATTTTATCTATCTGAAGCATTTTGTTTACAATAAAATCTTTTAATTATGGATAAAACAGCCTTTCTCATTGGTTGTTCTTTATATAGGTCAGAGGTCATTTTTGTACTATTACTCCATTCCATTTGTTGTATATCAATAAACAACCTTTTTGATTGGTTACTTCACCAGTTAGGTCAAGGGTCACTTTTGTATCATTACGCCAAACTGTATTTAAGTTAGGTTTTGGCGCCTTTTAGTTACAGTTTTTGTCAAGACACGTTTCCAGTCGGTTGTTTTCTTCGAATTTGTTTTTGGAAAGGGTTTTACTGTGCCCGAATTTCATATTGATAAGTTTCCTTCAGTTTTCCATTCATCATATACGATGTAGAGTAGCGAACTATTTAATCGTCAGTTGTTCAGGGACTAGCCTGTTTGTGTGTATTTATCTTTTGAAGGACAGGTATTTTTTATTGTTTTTTGAAATTTGTTCAAAATGACTGACAGGAGATCAGCTAGAAACAAAGAAGTTCCTGACTATAAAGCTATGAATGAGGGAAAGGGATTTACTCCCAAGAGGCAATTAATTGAACCTGTTCTGGCTTCTCCCAGCCAGTTGTTTGATTTGAATGAAGAAGATTCTACTGTGACACCGCCTGAGGTACTTCCGGAATCACGTCCAAGTTCAGATTTGGCCGAAAAAGAGGAAAAAGAGAGGTTGTTGCGGCGTTTGAGTGAGTTGGATGAGCATCAGGCTCGTTTACAGGAGCGGAGAGAATTAGAAATTCTTCGTAAGAAAGTTGAGGAGAAAGAAGCGTTTGTTAGTGAGTTAGAGAAGTCCCTTCATCCTCAAGCTTCCGATCTATCGTCTAGAAAGAAGGGCAGACATATTCGTCCCACTACTTCCAGTTCTCGAGGGCAGAAATCATCCAAATCTTCACATGCCGGTGCAGAAGGTACGTCACTTGATATAAATGCTTTACGCAAAATGTCCAATTTAAGAATAGCGGCTAAGAAGGAACTTGCAAATTTAGGCTTGATTAGTTCAGCGTCTTCAGACTCTGATTCTAGTTGTGATTCATCGTGTGCTTCTACGTCAGATGTTGATAGTGATTTAGATATCTCTTTGGAACAAAGTAAAAAATCTAAAAGTGGTAGAAATAAGACACATAAGGTTAAATCAGGAATTGCTTCAAGATCGTCAGATTCTGTTAAATTTAAACAGCAATATCCCCATTCTAATTTACGCTTTGATTTTGTTAACCAAAATGTATCTTTTGAGAATATTGAATTTAACTTATTTATTGCTGGAGAATTAGAAATTATTTGCTCTTCAGGAATTTGTAAGAAAGAAAAACAAGGTCGTTTGAATTTTTTGAGAAAGTTAATGTATCTTAACAGCTCTTATGATTTCAATGTTATAAAATCATTATATGCTGCAGTTTTAAGAGAAATAGAGCTTGGTCATAGTGCTTGGGGCGATGATTTTCAGTATGTGGAATCAGCTGTCCTGGCCAGACACTGTCAAAAATTTAGGTTCAGATCTGAGTCAGTACAGTTGAAGCCAAACCCCAGGTACAATATTCCTCAGGTTAAAGTTAGTTCTAGTACAGATGAGAGTAGCAAAGTGTGGTTTTGCTCAAAATATCAGAGGAACAAATGTTCATTTAAATCTGCTCATATTGTCACATCAAAGGGAGGTAAAACTCACTTTGCTAAGCATATCTGTGCGACTTGTTGGGATGTAGACAAGAAAGAGTTACCTCATCCTGAATGTTCCAGTGCATGTCCACACGCTAATCAGTGACTGTCCAATTGTGTTTTCTCTGAGAATAAATTAGTTGATTTATTTTTACCTGATTTTTGTAAAAGGAATATGGAACATTCTCTAAAACTTCAAGACACAATCGATTCTGATTGTTTTTGTAGTCATAACAGAAAGTGTAAAGTTTGTTTTTCTGTTAAAGATCAGTTAAATTTATCTTCTTTAAACAAGCTGGACATTGCTAGACAGGTTAAAGCCTCCGGTAAATTTAATTTTGAGGGTTGTCGTATTCCGGTGAATCATAAGATTGATACCGCATTTATGACAAGAATGCTTCATGGTTATAATGACTTACAGGTTTGTGAGTTATTGAAATTTGGTTTTCCAATAGATGTAGATTTGCATGACACAAGTATTTTGTTTTCTAAAACCTCAAAAGTTAAGAATCATTCGGGGGCTAAATTATTTCCAAGTCACATGATTAAATATTTGCAAAAAGAAGCATCACATGGAGCTATTATAGGTCCTTTTGTTACTTGTCCTTTTGATGATGGTATGGTGATATCACCTCTTAATACTGTTCCTAAGTCAAATCCTGACGAACGTAGAGTTATTTTGGATTTAAGTTTTCCAAAAAATGGAACTGGTGTTAATGACTTTGTTCCCAAGGATCGTTATCTGGGAGACATAGTCGATTTGGTTTTTCCAAAAATTGATGACTTTGTGGCCTTAATTAAAAATAAAGGTCAAGGATGTTTTATGTACAAGCTTGATTTAAGGCGTGCCTATAGGCAGATAAGTATTTGCCCTTCAAGTTATAATTTAGTTGGTTTTTCATGGAAAAATCATATATTTTTTGATACTGTTCTAGCTATGGGGTTGAGGTCCTCTGCGTTTATATGTCAGAGAGTTACAAATGCTTTCGCTTTTATGATGCATAATGTAGGTTTATCTTGCCTTAATTACTTAGATGATTTTGCAGGCGTGGAAAGTAAAATTAATGCTGATTTTTCCTTTCATTTTTTACGTGAACTATTTATTAGAAGTGGTATTGAAGAAGCTGTAGATAAAGCTTGTGCACCGTCTCAAGTTATGATCTTTTTAGGAGTCCTGTTTAATTCTCAAAGTATGACTATGCAGATAACTAAGGAGAGGCTTGAGGAAATCAGGGGGTTGATTTCTTCTTGGTTAGGTAGGGATAGTGCGTCTTTGAAAGATATACAAAGACTGCTGGGAAAATTAAATTTTGTTGGAGCTTGTGTCAGGTCTAGTCGTGTTTTTGTTAACAGAATTTTGAATTGGTTACGTGATTGTTATGGAAATAAAGGTGACTCCTTTAAAGTTCCTTTTGAAGTTAAGAAGGATTTATTGTGGTGGCATGAGTTTTTACCCTTGTATAATGGAATATCTCTTATTGATTATGGTGAATGGTCTCTTGTTGATAGTGTTTTCAGTTGTGATAGTTGTTTAACAGGCTGTGGGGGTTTATACGGCTCTAAATTTTTTCATGCTTCTTTCCCTAGGTTTATTTTGGATCAATCTTTAAGCATCACATGTTTAGAGATGTTGACTGTTCTAGTCTCTTTGAAGCTTTGGGGTTCTGATTTATCAAGGCAGAAAGTTGTAATCAATTGTGATAATTTGGCAGTTTGTATTGTGATTAATACAGGTAAAGCCAAATGTTCATTCTTGCAACATTGTTTGAGGGAAATATGCTTCATTGCATCTATATATGAGTTTCAATTAAGGGCTACTCATCTAAGTAGTTGTAATAATCGGGCCTCTGACTGTTTGAGTAGATGGCATATAGATTCCAAGTTTAGAGATGAATTTTTGAATGGTTGTCCCGATATTTCTTCTATGATAGAAGTTGATGTGGATGTAGAGCATTTTCGTTTTCTTCATAATTGGTGATTTCTTGTTTCAGAATCAGAGCTTAAAATTTTACGCCAAGAGCTCAGGAATTCTAACTCTTCAGCCTTTGCGGAGGGGACGAATAAAAATCTACGTGTTCAGTGGGAGAGTTTTATTTTATTTTGTTTATATTTTAAATTTAAATTTTTACCTGCTTCTACTCTTACTCTTCAATTGTATGCTCAATTTCTCAGTAGGACTTTTGTTTCTGTTGAGAGTATCAAAAATTATATTAGTGGTGTCAAAACTTTACATTTTTGTTTAGGTTTTAACATTGATCATATTAATTCTTATTTGTTAAATCTTTCATTCAAAGGTTTGCAAAGGTTGAAGCCTAGATCAGTTAAGCAGGCTGAGCCCATTACCTTAAGTATTTTATTAAAAATCCATGAACAATTAGACTTTTCCATTCAGGACAATGTTGTGTATTGGTGTTTATTTTTATTTGCCTTTTTTCTAGTTGCTAGAAAGTCTAATTTAGTCCCTACTTCTTCTGCTGATGTTTTGAAGGGTCGGTTTTTAAGTACAGAAAGTATACGTTATTTTCATGATTACATTTTGGTCCATTTTAATTGGTCGAAAACTATTCAGTTTGGGGAAAGAGAAGTTGTAAGTCCTTTGTTGAGACTTAAAGATAAAAGATTGTGTCCGGTTGTCGCTTATGAGAAACTGCTTAGTTTGAATTTAGATTATCATCATAATGTTTTATTTACTCTTACAAATGGTTCTTATATTTCTTATTACTTATTTCAAAAAAAACTAAGGGAGTGTATATCTTTAATCGGTTTATCTCCTGAAAGTTTTTCTACTCATTCATTCAGGAGGGGTTTTGCAACCCTTGCTCATCGTTCCAATATTCCCCCAGAGCATATTCAGTTGCTTGGTGATTGGAAATCAGATGCTTTCAAATCATATTTAGAATTAAATTGGTCTGATAAAGCACACATTTTAACTAAAATGTTTGATGTTTTATAGAATTCAGTTTTTGAATTTCTCTTTGCAGATGTACGAGTTCATATTCTTTCTGACTCAATTGCTAAACATGTGGATGGCATTTGGTTTACAAGGGTCCATGCTTTTCCAGGAATTAATTTGGTTCGATTAACAACCAAGATTCAACGTGACCCCTCTTTGGTCAACAAGCCTTTTACTATCATTCATGTTGGAACTAATGATGTTAATTCTCATGACAAGTTGTCAGTTGATCAAATTTTGAGTTATTTTAATAATTTGATTACAGTTATTCGTAGTATTTCATCGACTCATATTGTTTTTTCAAGTATACTTCCTCGTCCAGTTGATTATTCTCAGACTAGTTCTAAGGTAAAGTTATTAAATCAGAGGTTAGAGGCTAAATGCAAAGAACGTCATTGTCAGTTCATTCATTCCTATCGTCCTTTCTTTTACTGTGGTAAACCAAATCTCGATGTTTTCGCAGTCAGAGACGGTGGTTTGCACTTAAATTTTGAAGGGGTTAGACTCCTTCGTAATTTTTTCATTCGTACAGTGGCTCATTTACTGAAAGGCTAGTTTGCTTTGTAATTTATTTTTAAAAAATAGTTAAAAATAAGTGATCTTCCCAACTTGTGGCACAGAAGTGTTATTCTATTGCAAACAACAAAAGGAACAACTTTTATTTTGTTTTTGTGCTCCTCTTTAACTTTCGTTTTATTTCTTGCATGACATAAATTTTTTTGTTCATAAATTTTCTATTTGCTTGTATTGTAACATTTGTATATTAGCTTCCATTCTATTATTTTCATCTTGATGTCAGTTTAATGGGATATCATATTATAGACTTGGGTTGTTTTAGCTTTGAGGGAAGTATTTTATTTCCTCGGCTATTGTTGCTCATATGATGTTAGCATCTTTATATCATCTGTGAGTTTTTTCCTTTTAAAGGAGGTATATTTACTCCTTTGAGGATTTGGGAATAAGTGGTAATGGTATCTTGACGTTACCCTTGTTTCTTTTTTCATCTTTATCTTTGGGTACCCATTTTTCTGACATCTTGATTCATCATTTTTGAATGCTGTTATTTTGCTTTGCTATTGCTTTTAATTTAATTTTTGTTTGCTTGTAATTTTGCACGGAGCTTCCTTTAAGAATTATTATTTATTTATATATATTTACTTAAAACTGTTTAATCCCTTAGAGTAATGATATTTTTGAAAATTGTCTTGATGGTACTGGTAGCTCTGTGTTAACTTACATTTCTTGTGCTTGTATATTTATGCTTTTGTATATAATTTTTGTTCTGCTTTATGTTTGGCCGGGAGTTGGCGGTTTTGTTCCTATTCATTCTGTATTTCTCATGAATAGTTCATTCTATCTTTGATTAAATAACATTTATTTTCATTGATGTTGTAAAGTGTTTATGTGTAGTCCTGCATAACACTGATACATTATTTCAATTTGTAATTTGTATTTGACTTATCGTTGTTTACGTGTCTGCTAGCTCTAATAAATCATATTATTATTTGAAATTGCCTTTTTTGGTTTTGACATAATTTGAAGCATTTTGTTTACAATAAAATCTTTTAATTATGGATAAAACAGCCTTTCTCATTGGTTGTTCTTTATATAGGTCAGAGGTCATTTTTGTACTATTACTCCATTCCATTTGTTGTATATCAATAAACAACCTTTTTGATTGGTTACTTCACCAGTTAGGTCAAGGGTCACTTTTGTATCATTACGCCAAACTGTATTTAAGTTAGGTTTTGGCGCCTTTTAGTTACAGTTTTTGTCAAGACACGTTTCCAGTCGGTTGTTTTCTTCGAATTTGCCACTCCCTCCCGCCCTTTTTGTGTTCTTTATTGTTTAGCTTGTTTAGTTCTGTATTGCATGTTTTTAATCTGTTTATGTTTCATTTTAATTAATTCCGCTTATATATTCTATTACATTTGTTAAAGCGGTTTTGTTCCTATTCATTCTGTATTTCTCATGAATAGTTCATTCTATCTTTGATTAAATAACATTTATTTTCATTGATGTTGTAAAGTGTTTATGTGTAGTCCTGCATAACACTGATACATTATTTCAATTTGTAATTTGTATTTGACTTATCGTTGTTTACGTGTCTGCTAGCTCTAATAAATCATATTATTATTTGAAATTGCCTTTTTGGTTTTGACATAATTTATTTATTATATATATTTTTTAAGGAAACCTTCAATTACGTATTTATAAATTGTAGATGTTAACTTATAACTATTACTATTTTATTATTTTTTTATTTTTTATTATTATTTTTATTTATTTCACATTGCTATATGTATCATACTTAAATTTCTAGACTACAGTCATTTATTACTTTTAGAAACTGTTATTACCTTTAATACAATATGTACTGTGCATGTCATCAAGCTATGCCTTAATTTACCATCTTATTGTTAAGTTCTTCTTAACCTTGATACTCTTATTTCATGCTTAAGCTGCTAATAGTTTTATATGTTTTTATTTTCAGAACTGTTATATGTTAGTAAATATGTTTTATGCTTTTGTTATTGTCGGTAAATAGCTTATTAGCTAATGTTTCTTGTAATATGTAAACCGACTTAAAATAAAGTTCCTTGTATCTTGTATCTTGTATCTTGTTTACATTGCTGTAGTCTATATCTACTCTTGAATTAAAATATGTACGTATTTCCCTAGCTAATGTATGTGTTGATTTAATATTACCGGTATAAGATTTAAGACAATAAACACAACGAGCACATTTTCCAAAAGAATTCATATATTATTAATGATTATGATAAAAAAAAACAATAAAAACGTATCATTTGGATATTCGTATAAAATATTTTATGAAAATATCTTTTATAGAGTTTTAAGTGATTTAGTATAAACATTTACCATGACGTAAAGTAATATATTTGTTTTTGAGCATTTTATTATCTTCTTTATATAGTTATATAATATCAGATCATGTATCTTACACTTACCAAGAACATTTTTACACATTTTTTTGTCGTGGCTTGTTATCACTAATGATATTAAATACTACATGTATCAACAAACTTATTTATGGTAATACAGACCTTCCAGTTATGAACCAATTCACGTTAATCGCCAATAATAAAATCTACATTCGAAGTTAGCTAGTTAACATTGTAATTATCAAATTTACATTTCCGTACACTAGCTCGATTGATTAAATTCAACGCTCAAGTACCTTTAAGGGATTTAAGTGTAATAAAAATCAGTTTTTATCAAGACAATGTGACACTGGAAATGTAACCTCAAATCATGCATTTTGAATTTTACCTGTAATTTCTGATAAAACACTCAAACTGTATAAAAAGAGATAGAAAATGATTTCATTTTGAGGGAGAAAATAAAGCAAAAATGACTGTTTATTCAAAATTGCAATGTGATTTTATTCAGGCATTATATATACGGAATATCTAATGGATAAATAATACAGAAGAAAAAAATACACTACTTAAATGAATAGTGCATGAATTAATCGTTTGTGCAGGCAATTTTGGGAAGAAAAAAAGTTATTTCAACAAAACTTTATATTCGGGTAACTCATTTTTCAACAACAGTCTCTGTGTATATGCAAAAGTTAAATAATCTTAACGTGGATGTACATTTTTTTCTTTGTTTTAGACGAGTCTATTGTGTCTTTAAATTTGTTTTGGCTATTTTGAATATTCGGATGATAAAGTTTTGTATACATTATTTGAATACTTGTATCTACGGTGTCTCCATCAACTTCGCCAGGAAAGTCTTCGAATCCAAAGGTAAGTAATAATTAATGTCATTATTTATAATGCATGTTTCTGTATAAATTACATAGGCGTTAACAATACACGTTATACGAAATTTAGTCACTCCCTCCCCCACCTTCCCTTGACAGTTCAATCGGCAATTGTCGGATAAACGCTCCAATTGTTTTATCCATCAGTCTTAGAAAGAATGGCTTTTCAAGTATTTTCAGCTCAAATGCATTAAAGTCATAAAATTCTACTATGTCACCTTATCATCGCGCCCTTTCAATGCTTATTCAAAACATAATATAAACTTACATGCGTTTTCAAAACTTATAAGGGCCCCGTTATACGCATATCAACAATACGTATACCTGTTTTTTCCGTAATGCTCTTCAATTTTTTTTAAACGAACTTTTCCAGCATTTTGAAAAGAGTAGTTTTTACAAAGCCAGTCGCGTGTAAATAAAATCAAGACCTTATTCAAACACAAGAACATGTTATTCCTACTGTACACTTATTGCGTTCAAAATAACAAGTTTCTTTAACATGTTTTATCGCAGTTTTTTTATTCAGTGTACAATTTGCACTGTGACATGTTAAATAAATTTGGGTGAACAAAGTGTATTTGGTTTTAAACTAAACGAAATCCATTTAGAAGAAGAACACGATTTATAGACTTTCTTGCATTTCAAATGTTCTGGTTTTGAAATTTAATATTTGACACATAAGTGTTTTAATTATTATTTATTAAAGGCTTCTATATTTTTGCTGCTTCTTAGAGTTTGATGGGCGTAATTGAAAATAATTTGATATCTATAAAATGCACGTACTATGTTGTTAACAATGTTATAAAATCTCAGATTTGTTATGCTGAGTCAGTATTGACAGGAAATGCAATGTACAAATATAATGATGAAGTCAAATAAGTTAATGTAAAGAAACAACATGAAATCAAATTAAGAACAATATATACCACAGGTAATAAAAAAATGGTCATGACTTGTTCAGGCCTAAACAGATGGCAGGATTCAGAAGTGCAACACTAATTTTAATCATAAATGTAATGCAGATCTTAATGTGTTAAGGCTTCTATGTCTTGAATTCGTAATTACAAAGTCTTTGTTCTAATGGTTCACAAACATCCTTATAATTCTTATCTAATGTTGTTACGGAAGTGGGGTCCAGCCCATGTCTGCTATCATCACAATTGTTGGTGCATAGCGGTATATACCTATATGATATTGCATAGCATAGTTCTATTATACACATAGGAAA